TTAAATCCTATCGTGAACCGTTCTGCCCATAACCTGTCACCATATCGACTGCAAACGCACATTGTTTGCGATGCAGGAAGCTGAATAAGTAACGCATTGATGAGAACACAAACTCTGGGACAAGCACTTTCTGTGAAACTATCTATTCGCGTGTCTCTTGCATACGGTGCGAAGCCGTTCCTGAGGTTAAGAATCGCTCGGTTACTCAAGAACCACAGGAGCCGGGATAGCGTAGTCGGTATAGCGACTGGCTACGGAGGGAGGGTGTCACTTGTCCCGGTAGGGTGCTTAACTTGGAGTATTAAAGAAATGTTTGTATGGACTCCGTGGCCTTTAGTCCGCAAGCGAACTGTACCGACCGTGCGACCGCCGTTTGTCGGCGAAGTTAGTGCCAATTTTAGCGGATAGAGGGTGTCACTTGATCAGCGCAACGGATCCCCACGGCCGTTAATCTCGGTTTTATAGACCGGACATTTGTCTGGAAGAAATAATCATGGTCAGAACAGCGAGTCTCCGAGCCGAGATCACACACTCTAGAACACAAATTATGACGTTCCTCCCCATGCAGTTTTCTGCACCATCGTAGCACTTCAACCCTCTCTCACACACAATGCATAAAAAAAAAATAGAGTGGAAGGCAGTGCCTACCTGTACAACGAGCAGTTTTTGAGAAAAGCGTGTTAAGTTCGATGTGCACAGTAGACGTTATATTTGACTGATATGGATCACAATTTAACTGACTCCTCAGCTTCAAGAGTACACCTCTTCACCCCAGTCATCACGCAACACCAAATGTAATCGAAATCAGTGGAGCAGTTTCGGAGACGAGAGACAAAACCCGTCCACATTACTTGCAAAGAACCCATGAAAATAATTCTGACTTGTGCATATATACTTCCACTACATTAAGACATGGCGCATAACCTATGGGGCAGCGTTTGTCAACTGCTGGTACGCAGACCGCTGCCGGTCCCAACACACTAATTGGTGTTACAGCATACTATAGTAGTCTCAAACTCCTGTTTTACAACTAATGAATTTTCTTCCTATCCTTCCTACGGAGTTTAATGACATGGCTGACACAGTGATGAAGAAGTGAACACGGAGCTGGGGACCGTACAAGAATGGCGTGTTACGAACATTGGAAGACGGATATATTTGACAAATAATTTCATGTTCCCTCGTGTCTGACTTTTAATTCTGGACCTTTAAGACGGTTGATTATGGCGTCTCTTCGACTTCCGATCCCATTACACGAAGGCAAAGGTAAAAGTGCCCCTGTCATTAATTATGCATAACGCCAAGAAAGCATACGAAGGGTAGGCCGCGCCATAGCTCAAGCGGTTAGTAGCTGGCTTCCCACCGCGGAGGCCCGGGTTCGATCCCGGGTTTGGTCAAGTGGGATTAGTGGTGGACAAAGTACTTCGGTTTCCCCTGCCAATCTTAATTCCACCAAATTCCCCATCATCATATTCACCCGGGGTGGGTACAATAGGCCAATCAGTGGCCGCCGTGTCGAGTGGACCAAGTTGGAAGCGAAAAGAAGCATACGAAGGAGTGAAAGTACAGCTCCACGCATTCTTAACTTCGGCACTAAATGGAGGCAAGCAGTCACCTTAATGCCCTGGCCGCTTTACCACGGTGGAAGAGGTCCGAGGTACCTTCACAACACGATGTATCAACATCCTACTTGACCTAGCGTCTGGTAGTGGGACACTTTACACCAATGACGTGGCGACGGACCAAACCCTATGTGGGCGTCTGCCCTCATAAAAGTTGCGTTAAGGATTCATCTAACGGTCTCGTATCTTCGAAACTTTGTACGTATTACGAAACAGATTTTCAAGATATTCACAAAATCCGACAGGTCAAATCAAGGGCATGTTGGGCGCACAAAAGGGATACGAAGTGAATAAGATTTTTCGTAATTAAACGTGAAGGGAAAAGATCCCGTGGAAGACTTAGGCCTAGATCTGACGTTAATGTTAAATCTGATCTCTTAAAACTATGGGGTGGAGGGTGTAGACCATTCATCTGGCTCTGGTTAAGGGTCAATGGCGGCTGCTGTGAACATGATAATGAACCTTCAGGTTCCATAGAAGGTGATAACATTTCTTGGCTAGCTGATCGACTATTAGCTTTTAAAGCAGGAATCTTCTCGACAGAGTTGGTGATTTAGTTGCTGGATGCAAATGCGAAACTTAGTCCCTCGTTTTAAAGGAAGAACAAACTGTGCACGTTTGATAGCAAGGCTCTGAGAAGAATATCTGAACCTCAAAAGGATAGGAAGCAAATGGATGATGAAGAAAATGATATAAAGACAAACTTCATAGTTTCTACTCTTCACCAAATATTATTTGGATGCTAGAACACAATATCATCAAGGAGACTGGATGGGTAGAGTATGTAGCATGCATGAAGAATAGACATGGATTGAGATCTTTAGTTAAACATCCAAATGGAAGAGACCAATCAGGTAACCTTGGCTTATATCAGATGATAACATTTTTAACACATCTTAAAAACACTGTGTGATCTGGTCTTAATGGCCTGAGCATAATCTTGAAATTAAGCTTTCCATCACTGCATTCTACTTCAGAATGAAAACACTGAAACCTTCAAATGCAACAAATTAAAATGAATATATTAAATAAGTCATGGTTAACTTAAAACAGAGCTAGATGGGTGAGTTTTAACTGTTATAAAAAGTAACTGTTATGTTTTCTGTTTCTTTCTTTTCCTTTTAATTCGCTTAGTGGGGGGTGGAGTCCAACTTGGTCCACTCAGCATGGCGGCCACTGATTGGCCTATTGTAGCCTGACCCGGGTGATTATGATGATGGAGAATTTAGTGGAATGAAGATTGGCAGGGGAAACCAAAGTACTTGGAGAAAAGCCGCCCTAGTGCCACTTTGTCCACCACCAATCCCACTTAACCAGACCTGGGCCACCACGGTGGGAAGCCAGCAACTAACCACTTGAACTATGACGCGGCCTTTCTGTGTCTTACTTCGTGCCTAACATAGAACAGTCTAAGATATCACGAAAGTTAATTCTCACTCTTGCCAGTATATATATATATTCATTGGTTATGGTAATGTAGGGGGTTAAAGTGTTTGCTGCCCAAATAATTAACTATCATGCCTCTAGTGGGAGAGTCTAAAGTTTCAATGTTGTTAAACCAAAATTTGACATGATCTTGAACCAGTTCCACCAGCTCACAACCTACTGCCAGAATATCCATCTTAATTACATTCTTCCATCTTTTATTTTTCAGTCTTCCAAGTGGCTGCTCCCTAAGCAGTTTCTTCACCAAAATTCTGTCTCCCATTTCAACTACATGACCGGACAATAATAACCTTGCAGATTTCACTACCTTGACATACTACACAATCAGTAACTTGCTGATTATGTAAACTTCCATACTGTCCGTTTACTTCATGAGCTGGGGAATCTGCTAGCAAAGATGGGATAGATGAACAGGGTCTGATTCCCCACAGATGCAAAGATTTTTCTTTTTACCACCATGTCCATGCCCACTCTGGGCTCTCTACCCAAGGGCAAAACTTTAAACTGACCATCCACCTTTATCTAGTGCTCAGACTTGTAACACATGGAAATTTATATCCATCCCCAATATATTTTCATGGCAGTGTTGTTACTAATGAAGATATCACTTTGTGTAAGGACAAACAGGTAATTTTATATCTCTTCCCACCTACTTCATCCTTTTTAAGTATAAACATTTTCTTGAACTCCTATGTTTTGGGATTTGGTGGGCTCTTGTGAATGTGGTAATGAACCTTTTGGGTCCATAAAAGACAAGAACTCAGTATAAAACGTGTTAAAAATGAAGTTGTGTTCAGGATGACAAAGATCTTATTTGTGTATTCACACTGCAGACATCAATATACACTACATAAGTGGGCTCTAAGATGGAAGCCCACTTTCATTTCGTGATTCAGAACATATATAGAAAACTGTGCATCAAGGCTCACAAAATGAAAAGGCCATATTAAAACGAATGAAGAACATAATAAAATATATTCCTCCTTTAACAATGTGGTACGACAGGCTTTACCAACACATACAACCCTTCGTCGCCATGTGTGATACTAGCATCCTGGGAATTCCTTGCAAAAATAGTCCCACTATATCCCATCAATTTGCACAATTTCGGAATATCTATCGTAAAAAATAAAACAGATCCTCATGACCGCATCTCTCATAGAAATACAATGCTCTCTGAAACTTGCCCAGTGGAAAAATGAAATCAGAATAACTCCTACTGTTGTATTTACGTGGTGACCCACTGAAGAGATGCAATTGCGGAACATATTCTGGAAATGTGGCAGCTCTACAGTCCAGCATTCAGCACGGAAAGCAATTGGGGGAAAAACAACATTACAAGAACCTCGTCATTATTACAGTAACTATTAGGTATAGAATATTCCCGACGAAATACAAATTGAATACTTACTTAAAACCGTGGCCAAATTTCTTCTCTCTCTACCAATATACACAAAAGCATTTTTAGCTGCAACCTCAAGTGAATGAAAACAAAGTTAATATGATCGCCTTCGTTACTACAGTGTTCATAATTTCCTCTTTTCCTTAACTGGCTTGATGAAAAACGAAAAAAGTCCCAAATTTACGCCAAAATGCTTAATACGCTCGGACGCAAACTGGGCCTATATAAACACTTCACAATGGTATGAGAATACAGTCATTGCAACTCCACGCCATCTAGTATGAGACGTTGAAGAACGTCATGATGGTTGTACTTCGCACCGTTTCGTACTCTTTTGCTGTTCAGAAACGCAGTACACTGAACATTGAACACAGAATGTACCAGATACGATTTAATTTTATTCGCAATATTCATGGCTTCATTTATACGACACATGTCGCCTGGTTTCTCAGCATAAGTAATAAACTACCTTGTTCACTAGCACAAAGCGGTGACATTCTTTATATGTTGCCTACCCTGATTTCAGTACATTGATGGTTGCAGACCTCGTAGGCTTGTACACTTTTGTGTGAGGGAAATTGACAGCACATCAATGTGCCTGAGGAGGAAAGGAAGAAGTTTATTGTTGTAACAGAACACCAGGAGAACCTCTTAAATATCCTTCCTCATTGCACTTGTTATTTTTGGAACGTATGTCCATGGCGACACGGTCAAGATAACTGTAAGTAGAATTAGGTTAATCATAGGGAGATATTCTTGTGGCGGCAATTAAATGAAAGTGTTAATGGTTAATACAACTTTGAAGGTGAAAGGAGACCGCACCCTCGGCTTACGTACGTTGAAGAAATCTTTAACATCATGTTAGCACGATTTACATCGTTGATGATATTCGAAAATAATACCAACATTGGAGTAAACTTTTTTTACAAGGAATATAATTTTCAATACAGAGTGCAGACTGAGACTTAGTAACAGACTGTATTAAAGTTACGTTTGCATGAAAATACGTGTTTATAGACCACATCAATAGTATTTAAATATCGAAGTGGACTCATGATAGGGGTTATGATCTTTGCTCTCTTGATTTGGTTGTATGAACTTAGGTCAGAATTTAAATCCTAATTGACATTTTGCCTTTTTTTTTTGGTATAATTTGGCCTTCTGGCATACACCTGAGATGTTTGGTAATACATATTTATATATTAGACTGACATTAATTGAAACAAATTTTCTTAAATACCAGACAGATTGAATACAGAATTGCTTTGTATTTATGCAATGCATGACTTATTACATCAAATGATCACCGGTGCAAATAATTCCATATACTTGTTCTTATTATGATGTAAATGTGGAATATAAGTAATTTCCCAGTGTATCATAAACAGGAGCGTGATTATGACATCTTCCACCCAGTGCATTTGACCCATGTGCTATTTTCCCACATAGTTTTGTTACTGAGTGATTTGGCTGAAGTGGTAAAAGTTCTGACTCATATTTTGAATATGCCCAGCTTGAGTCTTGGACAGGTCACTGATTAACCTGACTTAGATTTTAGGCCCTCTGTGCAAAAGCTGGAATTGTATGTTATGTTAAGTCATGACCATCACCAGTCTTCTTCCGTCATCAAATCATTTGATACTCTATAGCCTTGGATATTCAAATCATCATTAAATGAATTGCAGAAATAAATATGTTGTGTTATGTTTGATGACTGTAAGTGAATAAATCTAGTGAAAGACAAGGCAGAGTGGGTTATGTTAGATAAGATATTTTCTTTTGAAATATTTATGATACTGCTACAATTGAAATGGTTTTTATAGGTTCATGAAACTCCTGTATTAAACATTTTGACAAGTTACTGTGCTGTATCTTCCAACATGTCAAGTAGTAATATATAATTATCTGGATGATTATTACAAAAATTATGGAATTGACATTTCTTCATCACACCCTTGCAAGTGGGCTTCACAACATCTGTTCATATATTACAGATACAAAGCTGCAGGCAGAATTAGTGAAGTCTTACATTGCATACATTCTTCTTGCATCTACAGTCCCCTAAGAACCTTGGCCTAATTTATGACTGATGTCCATTGTTCTCTATTATTTGCTGTTTGTTGCCATATTTTCAGTTTTATCTCTCATAAATCATTCTCTGCATCTTCCAACCGTATCAATCTGGACGTTCCCCCCTTTTTTCAAGCCTCAATTCTTCGTTCATGTAGCACATAGTCTAGCTACTGTATAGACTGAGCTGTCATAGCTCCCTTACAATGTGTGGGTTACCACCTAACCTTGCTGATCATATTCATCTTAGCATGTTGACTCTACCCATTCAGAAATGTACCCACAAGCTCCATAAGTTAAAAATGAAGTGACTTATTACAGCAGTGTTATGATTGATTTTAGTGGTACCATGCTGTGAGGTGGCAAGCCTGCCAGCATCAGGCAGGCAGTCAGAAGAAGAATGAGCGGGTCGCGGCTGGTCCGCGGGACCAGAAGTCGACTGTTCCTATATGTAGCTGTTGTGGTTGTGGTAGGCGTGGCAGTGTATGTTTTTCATGGTGCACAGTTGCAGCTAGATGATGCCCGCAAGGTGGCAGACAAGTGCCAACAGCAGCAAGAATCCTTATCTGCTCAACTTCAGGGTAAGAACACTATTTCTTCTATCCTGCACACAAATTACAGTCGGTGAGCAATTATTTGTGGATTAAAAAGACAACTGTCTCCTGGAATATGATGATATGTAATCTGATAGATGGGTATCAGTGGATCAGAGGAACCCACTGCCTCCATCTTCATGGTAGAACATTCATAGTCACTTCCATGAGAAACTTAGATTTCTCATATTTGTGGATTATCCATGTGAAGTAAAAAAGAATTCAAAATTATGTAATTAACACACATATGCTTGCAAAAAACAGCAAAAATGTGAAGATCTGGCAATAAATATTGTAATTATGTCAGAATATACCAGAGAGACATGAGTAGTCAGTCACCGTATTGTGCAGTGGAGTTAAAAACTATCTCCATGGGACAGGGTCCCATATTCACCCATCTGTAGTGTGCCTAAAACATTGTTTAGGGTTGTTTTACCTATGGTAGGGAATCACAGAAGAAGAATCCTTGGTGCTCAACAGTCTCTAGAGTATGGCGATTCTGTTTCCCATAGTGTGATGAAAACAGGTCCTGGTAACTTCCTAATAATGGCATAACAGTTTCCTGGCACAGTGTGATGATGTTGAGGAGGAAGATGATGACGATGAAATGAGAAACATCATTGAAGAAATTTCTTGCCTTATGTGGAATGCAGTTGTCCATTTACCATGTTCACAAGATGTTGCCATTGCATGCATTCTTTAACAACATGCAACATGTTGCCACTCTTACACTATAAATCGTTAAGGCCCATCATAATGTTATTCTCCCATTAACATTAGATTTTCCAAGAGGTGTCTTATATAAGGATATCTCAACAAAATTTTGCATGCATTCTTATCTCCTACATTTGTGAAAAATGTAAAGATATACTCCTTTATTTTGTATGCATGTGTTTGTTCATTTAGATAATGTCAGTGTTACATCAACCGCTGGGGTTATTTAGTGTTGAAAGTAACATGAGGGAAAGGTTTGTAAAGATGAATCTGGAATGATGCAACACTTGCTTGGAGAGGAAAAGGGAAGCAGTGGAAAATATTTAGTAAATGTTGCCAATTTTTCCTTGAGTTCAAAGCAGATGCTACTTGAGAAGCCATTTAATTGTTTGCACACGGGTGTGTGTGTGTGTGCAATGCTATGGGCCTATATGGACACTTAAGTTAAGAATAATGTCGTCTTGAATTTCATCTTCATTTTTCTTGTGGTTCTAGTTATATTTGAGTATAAGCTGAGGTTAGAAAAGTCACTGCAGCAAGAGAAAGCAGATCATCGAAAAACACGTGAAGAATTAGAAAAGCGAGCTGACAGCGAGAAAGAAGCAAACAACAAGCACAGTGCACTACAGCAACAGTATAAGTTACTTGAGGTAACTGCTTCTAATGTAAGAAGGTGACATTTACACATAAGCAGATCACTTCTACCTGTGGGTGATGGCACGTTAACATGTTGATCAAGGGTTTAGGTTGTAAGAATTGATTTATTTTTAAAATGTTACTGTTCCCAGTTTTTTTTGTATCATTATATTAGTATATGTTCACATGAAAGTTATGTTTATTTCAATGTTCACAAAAACACAATGTTTTGAAATAAAATTACAAAATATATGGAAATAACTGTGACAGGAGGTTGGAGAAAACTGCAAAATGAGGAGCTTCTTAACTTGTACGCTTCTCCAAGTATAATTAGAATGATCAAGTCAAGGAGGATGAGGTGGGCAGGGCATGTAGCACGAATGGATTGAACTCAGAACTGTCACAATAGTCTAGCAGTCAGTGTACTAGCCTAGTGCTCAAAATGTCAAGGGTTTCATGCCAGCCATCGGCACCAATATAAAATATAAAAAATAATAATAAATTCTGTTAGAATAATAGCAACAAAGATGAGTAGAGCCAGCTCCTGGAACATGGTGTATATCAGACATACCTCAGAGAATGGGCACTGTCCAACAAATCAGTCATGTAATTGAAGACTGAAGAATGATTATGCCTACTATACTTCGTGTACTTAATTAAGCAATGCTATTTTATATGTGTGTGATCTTCTATTGACAGAGTCAGCATGAGGATCTTACAGAAGGCTGCCAAAAGGCACAGCTCACACAAGCAGAGGAACGGAGCAAACTGGAGTCTCAAGCACAAAGTCTAAAGGCTGAACTGGCACAGGCTCAGGCAGGACACAAGAAATCCCTTAATTCCCTGAAGGTAATTGTTACTTTCTACGATAGTGATTGGATGTAGGTAAAGTAAAAAGAAAAGTAAAGCTATCCCTGTACCAGGCCGCGTAGGACCCATAGGGTTGTGAGACGTTGAGGGTCCCACATTATCTATACAATCAGCAATCGGCTCAAAGGTGGTGGTAAGGTTGTCAGCCTTACACACCGTCCGCGCTTTTCTCCCCAGGAAATGTGAATAATGAATTGGGAAGGCTTTGGAAGCAAGTGATCATATCTTAATCTAAGGTACTGATCCACCATTTCCCTGGAGGGACTGAAGAAAACTACAGAGACCTCAAGATAGTTGGTGTCATAGCTGAGATTTGAACTGGGAAAATTTCAAATGCAAGTTAGAAGCATTACTGCTTGAGCCAACTTGCTAGTTTCAAGATGTGTTACCTTGCCAAGTGTCGAAACTTGATATTCACTCTGTTCGTCAAGAAATTACTTGCTGCTATAAGGAAATATCACCTTTTACAAAAGCCCCACCCCTCCCACGTTAGAATGTATCCTTCTGTTTAAGTTCCATTTTGATGATATTATCTCTTCTAGGCTTGGCCCTTGAGTTTTTATAATCCAAATTTTATATGCATTTTTTATTTCCCTCAATAATGCTGCACAACCTGACCATTTCATCCTACCAATAGACTGAAGAGTACAAATTATGAAGTGCCCATTATGTAATCAGCCCTCTTCGCCTGTTATTTCCTCTTTCTTGTGGTTCAAATATTCTAGTCCGCACTCAAACATCCTCAAACTATGTTCTTCCCATTCAGTAAGAAGTCAGGTTCATGCCAGTATGAAATAAAATTATTCTTTTGCTTATTTTACCTTTGATTATTAAAGAGGACAGGAAGACAGAAGATTCTGAACAGATTTGTAGCATGCACAGATGAGAGGGTGGTCTAAGTATGCATGGAAAGGTATTGTTTAAAAGTGGATAATTTCTTGATATAATCTGCTCTTTAATTCATAATGAATATCATTTTGATTTGTTACTGAGAGATCATAAAATCCCCCCCCCACACACACACACACACACACACACACACATACACACCTGGTCCGCATAATCTGAAGAGTCTGCAATAAATGTATATGTTCAATAAGTGCTGGTTGGCGAATGAGTTACGCCCAATGCTGTAACACATATACTTTTTTTTTGTTAGTTAAGTATCATTTTAATTCTTGTATTGGTGCTATACTCAGATCTTTCTGGTAGAGTTAGAACAGTATCTTTTCAGTCTTTGTGTAGTTTCATTATTGTCTAGTAGGTTCACTGCTAGTGCATTAATGTGGTTTTCTAATTATAAAATTCTTAATCATAATAAATCATTAATTGGCTGAAGCTTTGACAATGACACTCTGTAGAGTGGATGGCTAAGGTTTCTTCCCAGTAAAAATGTTGACGGCTTTGCTGTGCATCAAGACACCAAGACTGGATTTGGGAACCTCTTTCCAAGTTGGTATTAGGGCTTCCCTCCCCTGGGATAAAGGAGGTTCAAATTAAAACTAACCCCTCTTCCACATGAAGTACTTAGGTACATGAAGCTGTAATTACTTTTATGATAAAACCACAGGGATCAGTTTTTATTTTATTTGACTTCAGGAAACATTGCATGAGGTGTGAGGTTCTTAAGAAGGTGGTGAATATGGGAGTGACCATGTTCTGGGATGAGAAGCTATGTATGCTGTTAGATAGTTAACAAGTGTAGTGTACATGTGTTGGAAGGACCTGTTGCCTCCTGCCTACCTACCACTCGGCGCTACAGCCATGGGTGAGCTTTGGCCTCCTTTACAACCAATCCCCACTGCTCTCTATTACTCATCTTCTCTACCCATCCTTTCACCTTCATCTGCAGGTTGTTCTCAACATCGTCTAGCCATCTCATCCTGGGTCTTCCTTTTCTTCTTTTGCAATATAGCCTTCATTTTAACATTCTCTTTGGCATTGCATTATTTTCCATTCTTTTGACATCTCTCAACTATCTTATTCTCTGTGACTTGATAAATCTTGCTGTATCTTCTCCTTTCACTAATGTGCTTATCTCTTCATTGTATCTTATCCTCCATGTATTATTTTCCATCACTGGTCCGTATATTTTGCGTATTATTTTTCTCTCTAACATTCTCAGTGCCTTCTCTTCCATTACTATTAAGGTCCATGTTTCTGCCCCGTATGTAGCAACAGGTCCTATTAATGTTTTGTATACTTGTAGCTTAGCTGCTGTTGATAATATATTACTTTTTAAGTGTACTCAGATTTGCAAAGTAGGCCCTGCTTCCAGCTTGTATCCTTACCTTAATACAATTATCATTTCTATTCCCATTATTGATTATGTTTCCTAAATATTTAAAACTACTCACTCCTGTATATAATTTCCCTTCTACCTTTAAATCTTATGGTTTCCTTCTACTTTCTGATGTTGACATAATCGTATATTTTGTTTTTCTTTCATTTACTTCTAAACCTATCTTCCCTGCTTTTTCTTCCATTTTCTTATATATCTCGATTATCTTTTCTCTGGCTCTAGTTATAATGACAATGTCATCTGCATATGCACATATTTGGCTTGATTTTTTTATAAATTGTTCCTCTCTGATCAATACTCTTTATTATACTTTGTAATGCTACTATGAATAGTACCGCTGATAAACCATCCCCTTGCTTGACTCCAGCATTAAATTCTAATTTTGCCCTTAGTTTATTATTTATTTTAACTTTTGCTTGTGTAATATTCATTGTCATTCGAGTTAGCCTAATTGATGTATCTAGTGTTTTCGTCTGTTTCATCGCTTCATAAAGTCTTTCTCTGTTAACACAGTCCAGTCCTTGTCTAAAATGTACAAATAGCATATGCCAGTCCATGCTATATTCATAATACTTCTCCATCATTTGTCTTGTTACAGAGTTGGTCAGTTGACCTGTTGTCTCCATCTTTAATAAAATGTTTTTGTCTGTATGGTATTTTGTTGGGGATAGATAAAATATTGTGACATGTCTGCTGAAAGCTGGGATAGCAGAACCAGAGTTGCTGTCATGGGCTAGTTGTGTGAGGGTTGCCAAGCCAGTGAGAACAGTAGTTGTTGAGCAGTAGAAGAAGAGGATAGTATTGGAAACCATTACCAGGCAGTACATAGGCCAAATGTAAAAGATATAGTGTGTGCCATAGTGAACTGTAAAGAGTGCAAATTAGGGATAGTGCTGTAATTGTAGTTACAGTTTGTAAGGGTCCAATAAATCCAATTAGCAGGGTTTTGCTGTACCTCGCTGTTTCTCGTGTTGCAGTCGGAGTACACTAAACTGGAAGTAGAGAATACAAATCTTGAGAAGCAACTTGATGAGCTACTCAAGCAGACATCAAAGACCTCTAGCAAGATAAACTTCCTGGAGAAAGAAAACATACAGCTGAAAAGGGAACTGGACAAAGTAACGGTATATTATGAAGATTCTTTCGGTTGATTCAGCAGTGTTTAATTTTTATGAATTTTAATTTATACATAGGCTCGTCCTTGTTTATTGGCTCAAAGAGTTTAAATGGACCAATACAGTACAATGCAACACTCAGACCTGAATGAATACAAATGTGCCACAATATTGTACAAAGATTTGTAAACTCTGCTTGCATGGTAAAAGAAAGTTCAGAAATGCACACTTGGAAACATGAAAATTCTTCAGAGGTAGACTCAAACTGTGCGAGACTCTACTTATAATATACAAAGATCATAATTCATATTAAAAAGAACATATATTTGCCTGTGATTCAGTTACACTATGAATATGTACTGAAGTTGGTTTGCAGTGGCTGCATTTGGGATCATTTAACCCATTTTGCTTCCTGCTTCCCAAGAAGTACTGAAGTTTTCATGGGGAATTTTACCATCTAAAATTGTAAACAAATATTTCATGAATGTATGTGTAATCAGAAAGGCAAGGAGCAAACTGCTTTCTTTCATCACTGTAAAATTTTTCCAGCGGAATTGTGCATAAGTTGTCAGATGAATGGAAGAGGAGGTGAAATGACAGCTTGCTTCCATTTCTGTCATAAAGACAAACTTGTGTTGTAAGCATATCAACATAACAATAAAAAAAGTGCTTAGTTTGTTGTTTATCTCAAGTTTGAGTTTGTGATAAAAGTGATTATATGAAGAAGTGCAGTGAGCCACTTATTACATGCACAATCAGATCAGTTCCTTTGTAATTTTCAGTGTATTATTGTAATAACAGGAAATTACTTCATCTTACTGCATAAATAACACACTCTTTTCCAAAAATTTTATGATCAAAACACAGGTGTATGATTTCCATAAGAATTACAAACTGCAGCCTTATTTCTGGAAAGCTTCTGTATGCTTCATACTATAACAGGTGATGGTTCATTTTCCCTATTTTGAAACTTATGTCATGCCTGCCATGTTTGTTTGGTTTGGTCCAGCATTTTGTCTGTAACATTCATATGGCTGCTACACCAAACTGCAGATCATGTGACATGTGGGAATGACAGAATGATTCTCACTCTAAATACAATGTGACCCCACTTGGTTTGGATTTTATTGCTCCCCCTGTTCCACCAGACTTTGGTGCAATATTTTTACAGAGCGATTCATATGTAAGATTTCATGATGAAAAGGGAGGTTTGTGAATTAACATCAGAAATGCAGTGTTCCATAATTTCATTGGAACTATTCTATGTTTTAGATTTTAGTATTAATTTCTGTTTTAAATCTAACATTTTATAATGTTTTGAATATAATAATTTGCAGAGAGACCTGGAATCATACAAGAGAAATCTACCTATTGAGAGGCCTTCAGAAGGGAAACAGGATATAGATAATAATCATAAGGCACCTGTGAAGGGCTCTGATGCAGTTCCATTACCTTCACCTGCCTCATCTGTTTCCTCGCCAGCTGCTGCTGCTCGAGACAGTGACATGAACCCAGACATCCAAATGAATGTCCTGCAGCAGCCTTTGGTGAACCAGGACCCAGCTGATAACAAGGTACGCAGCTCACCAAGTAGTACAAATGCCCCTCCTGTAGCAGACAAGTTGCCCATGAAGAGTAGTTCCAGGGCCATGGCTAGTCCTGAGCAAATGTTAGGTAACATTCCGTTTGCTGTGCCATTTGTTGGGAGCTCAAGTTCACAGCTAGCACCTGCCATGCTGGTGCAAGACTTGGCAGTTGCAGGACAACCACCTCAGGCTAGCAATGACATGAATATTGAACAGTTGCAAAACAGAATTGATCAAATGCTCGACAATGATGTAGCTCCCAAGGCCTCAAGAGAAGTTTAGCTTGGACCCGATGTCCCATGTACAGGAAAATATGAAGGGCTTCCACGTGTGAGGACTGAGTTAATTCCCTTCTTTATGTGCATGTTCCAAGTTTCTTCACAGTCTAGGATGTGGTAAGTGCATGATATCAGCGCATACTCTATGTGCTGTCTTTCAAGACAGCTTTATCTGTCTTCCAGCAGTATTTGAAAAAATATACAGTTCAGTGCCTTTGCTCAGAAAATTGCAATCTGTCTGTTCCAGCATCTCTTTGTATGCAATGAATTAGCAGTGTTGCTCTAAGCTTACCTTTTCAAAAGTATTTGTCTTTATTCCTCTGGTGGGAATATAACGAAACCACTTTGAAAGTAATTGAAGCAAAATATTTTTAATATATTTGCGTAGACTTTTTTAATGACATAGTTATATGTTTATGAACTCTTGAGTGCAAAGCACTCTACTCAGCTTGCTGCATATGTTGAACATATAGTATTTGTGATTAATTTGCTTGTTTGAATTGATTGTACTTTGTTATAAGAAGGAGTGTTAGAAAAAAACATGACTTGTAATGTATTGTGATTTTTAAGGGCTGTTTCACAATGCTGATGAAAATTTTATTGAAATCAGTAAATGTGGTAAGAATATCCTTATCATTTAAATTCTTTATATGAAAGGAAGGGGGTCTCAGTGAGAGTGTCTTCTTTGTATATGTGTATATTCTGCTTTGAATTTGGTTATTTTGGGGTGTCTATTATAGGAATGAAGTTTTGGTCATATGTGGGGGCAGTTTTTGTCTGGGTGGAATGTCTTGAGATTGGCTAAAAGTGATCAAGGTTTTCAGCAGGATTCTTCAATCCTGTATGCAAATAATGCTGTTATCATATTCATACACTTTGTAGCAAAAGAACAGGGCATAGTAACAAGATTCTGATCTGGCAGGATGACATTAGAGGTATGTGTGAAATACCAGTTGTTGAACTAGATAATTCTCTGGAGAATGTGGTCTTTGGGATTTTAACGTGAGTGGTTCTGAGGGAGCCTGACAATTTTAGAGGGAGCTGGGTGCCTGCTGAGGTTGATTTCATGCTTGGGTTGACCCTGAAAATGGAGGTTACATGTTCCTCCAAAATGTCAGGCTGGCTGCAAACTGTATGGTGTTACAACCCATAAGACCCTGCTCTTCTTAGTCACCATTGTCAGAACCTCAGATCCAGCACAGCCGCTCCTTTGTTTTCTTTTTAAAGGTATTTGGGGATATGTTGATGCGCGTGTTGTGACATGCATGTAAAACCAGACATTTTATAGAAGATTACTGCTGTCTAAAGTTTTGGATGTGATCTCTTGGTCTGTTCTTTATATTTTGTTTTGAACTAGAAACTAAATCGTGTTATGGTAGATATTGCTGTTTGCAGTGACATGCTTTGTAGGGTATGTATATATGTTTATATGTGTGTAAGGGGCAGTTCGACCTTCAATGATCTATTGTGCTTCCCCCTTTGGAATAACCCTTTATTATTCCTAATGAAATGTAGGACTTTATTTATGGGGGCATCATAAAAGTCACTTGGTTCCATGAAGAACTGACCCACGTGATGAAATCTTAATTAAGCTATGGCCTCACAATCACATACGATATGTGTGACTAATTTGTCTTCTTGTAGGCGCCTTTCACAGGTTGGGTCATCTGTCAGTCCCAGTTTGAAAAGGTGTCCTTTAAGGTGGCAGTGTCCAAATGCTTTTTCGGGTAGCCCATAAGTGCATTTTTTTCACTTGTGTAAGTTGCGTTTTCATTTGCAACACATGTAGCTTACCTCACATCATAGGGGCTCGATAATATTTTCATGTTTCTTTTTAAAAATAAAATGTGTGCATAACTGTGCAATTTACACACCAATTCATTTTAATTTTATTATGTATTTCACTTGTCTAATGATTAAGACTAGCTCTTTCTGATGGACTCTTCAGATTAGTGGAAGTGGTTTCCAAAACAGCATTTTAAGAATAAACCCAGATAAGGTCCAGGGTTTTAAACTATTGGTTCATCTTTCATAAAAACATTAAGAAATTGAATTCTAATATACTTTTAACTGTTTACTGTTGATAACAGTTCAGAAAGTTTAGAGATTTTTGTGGAACTTATAAAACAAGGCTCTGCTCTCTGCCCTGGAATTAGTACCCTAAGACAGATTTCTTTTGGATACATCTTGATGTACTGGAACGGTCCAGCCGTCATCCAGAATTGTGTGTTGCAATAGTTTCTGTACAGGGGCATGCGGTAGCATAGTTGGTTGAGGCTCTATGCTACAAGCTGGAAGGTCGTGGGTTCAAGTCCCAGTGAGGTCATTGGATTTTTTTCAGTTGACCTAATCCTTCCAGTCACACTATGGCCCTCGGATCGACTCAGCCCCTAACAGAAATGAGTACCAGGAATTAATTAAATAATTTTCCTGGTGAGTAAAGCGTGGCCGGCGCATAAGGCTGACAACCTTACCGCCATCTTTGAGCCGATTGTCTATATAATGTGGGACCCTCAACGTCTCTAACCCTATGGGCCTTTACTTCTTGTTACAAGGATAGCTTTACTTTTTTTACTTAACAGTTTATGTGCACATCAGAAAAACATACACATAAAATTTTGTTCTCTGTCCTTGTTATGTTTGAAGTAGAACAGAAATGAGGGTGAAAATATTTGTTCCTTAGGCTGGAAATAATGAGAAAGATTTCTTTTAGTGTGTAAGTTCATGGTGCGAGGTAAAATTGAGCATAAAATAAGCAGCACAGCTGATGGGTGCAGAATTAATCTCACTGTAATAAACTCGTGAAAATCCATGTGCTGTGTCACATAAGCTAAAAAGGAAAGATCTGTGGTTCTTATGGCTTTGACTGTGAAGATTTGTGTCTTCTGGATTGTGATATCATGCAATCTTGTAGATAATTTTTACATATTTTGCCATAAAGTTGAAGGCAGCAGTTTCCTTCAGAATGTTGGTAACTGTCAGACTACCCACTGTCACCACCCCAGACGGCAGACACATGAATGGAGGAGAAATATGATGAGCTATTGAGCAGGGCTGAAACGGAAGTATATTATAATACTGGTATAAAAACACAGTCAGCTGTCATAGCACATTTTAGGATTATCAAAAATTAATGTAAATTTGAAATTCAAACATCTGGTAAATGTCACCATACATATCTTACAGGTCCAGTTACAATGATGCATCAGTCACTGTTCTTTTGTCAGACTGGCTTGTGTTGGCCTTGTTAGGATTTTATACTTTCTGGAAACTAATACATGTTATACATTTCTTAAAAGAAAGGAACCAAGTAACACTTCTGAAGAGACTGCTGGATTGAAGATGGACAGACACATGTAACTCATTAATAGAGTCCTTTGGAATCTTAAAAATGAAGAAAAATTAAATTCAAAATCCATTTCATACAAAATGAGAGATGAATGAGTGTTATCCTTGTTTGTGCACTCTTTGTGTTTGCTGTGTTTTTTCCTCTGAACATTTCACTTGTGGAGTAACAGTTATGCTTTAGGGATGCCTACACCCTTCATGTAGCATGCATGTTGCTCATTGTAACAGTTTGTTGACACTGCAGTCTGGTCTGCATGAAGAGCTATATGTTTTGGGGATGCAAGTGGTTGTTAATATTCACAGCAAATTATGTGTATGTCTAGATATAGCATTACTGACACACAACAGGGTACTGCACATTACAGTGCTCTGGCTTCTGATAATAAGAATTCTGTGATGCTTGTGAGTTCACAGTGACATGTATTGTAAGATGCTTAATGTGCATAGAGAACACTAACTTATGTCTAGGGATAAGAAGACAAATTAAACAACTCCAGCTCATCAATGACCTAGGAATTGTTATTCATTATTCAGAACAAATATGAAGTCTTTTGACATCCGTAAGAATAATATCATGAACTGTTTACTGACTCAGCTTGCCAGAAATAATGCTCTTTCTATAAAGAAAAGTGCTTGGGTTAAGGGGGCTTAGTTTTAATTTTAATTTAATTTTAAAGTCTTCTTCTCTTTTACAGAATTAACCACAAATCTTAAATTAGGCTGTACAGTGACGTTATTCATTTTTCCAATATATCTTTATCACACACAGTGAATAACTGTAAATGATTACATTTATTCACCATATATGTTATTTAACACTGCTTGCTTTTATGTGGCTAGTTGGACAAATAATTTCATTGTATAATTAAAGCCACATGCTATGGAAGAACTTAAGGCCATGAAATTGTAACTTTATTTCACTGTCTTCCAGTATTCCCTCATTATGAACAACATTTTTATGTTTGTGTTGTATGAGAAAATCATAGTGTTTTATACTGACAGAAAGGAGCCCTTGTCAGAAGTATGACCTTTGATACAAAATGGCAAGTTTTGAATAGGGAGTTATCTTTCAGAACATTTTACAAAATATATCTTTGTATTTGTTATTTACACTTCTTATCTGACAGGCCAGAATCTTTCTTACCAGTATTTTTTGCTCTTAAAAGCTAACATACAGATGCCTTCAGCATTCTTTCAAGGTAACATATATATGGCTCACAAAAACGGTAAAACAGTTCATTCCAAATACAATATAAGAGTTGTCCATGAACTCAACACCATCTCCACTCTGTACAATATAGTACATTCATTTCATGGTAATATGTCAGGAGCAGGCAACTCAGACAAGCCTGATTTTATGTT